GAAGACCGACAGTAGAACCCTGAAATCTTGGTTTCCAATTTCAGTGTAAAAATATGCTGTTGACTACACTCATTTCTCGCTCAAGAATTGCATCACAGTGGAACTATACGAAACACTCCTAAGTTGCAAATTGCACAAGGGGAAAAGTGCATTTCCTTTGTCGCATGTCTGATTTTGAAACCTCAGAGATGTTCTCAGTGGGTTTGCAAAAGCACAATCTATCCAACCAGCTCACGGAGAACTGGGGTACAAGTTGGGATAATCAGCCTGATTCCTCCTATCCCTGTGCCTTGAGAGAAAATGTAATCTGCTAAAATTTTTTACTTGTTTTGTTTAGGTACTAAAACATGCAAAAGCACTGGAAGAGCAGAGCCAACCGTCCCAGTTCTTATATTGTATCTAAGTAAATCAGGACTAATTCAATTAAATTCCTAGGTCCATTTTTTTTTATATACAAAATAAATGTTTTACTTCCCTCTGAAGTTTCTGTATCCTGCTAGGGCAGAACAGAGGGTAATAGACTTGTTTTGATGTAAAATTAGTAAAACCAAAGACAGGATCAGATTTGCCAGCTAAAAATATCTACAGAAGAAAAAACTGGCACCTAGTCCAAGGGGAGAGTAATGAACGCATAGCTGATGTGGAATGATAATGGAGTATACCCACAGAAAGGATTGCAAAGTTGATCTTAAAAATCAAATAACTTAACTCTGATCAGTGATTTTGATTAAAATGAACTTGAAAAGAATGTCTAATGATTTGGTACTGATGTTACTTTCATTAGTGGAAAAGTGTAAGAAACAAAAGGAATAAAATACTTTTAATCTTAATAAAGGAGAGCTTCCTGGGGTGTGGGGAAGATGGGTATATACTAGAACCATGATAAAGCTTCCCTGTGAGGAGTAATGAGTTAGTGAACCTTTTTCAAGTACAACACTCTTCTTTTTGAAGCTAATATTTGCCTTGTAGTAACAGAGTTTCACAGGCACTACAAAGTGCCTGCTCATTTCTACATGTGGCTACAGCCACAGTCAGTGCACGTAAATGAGTAGGTGGCTACCTTTCAGCCGCTTTTTAAAGTGTGATCTATAATGATAAATCAGTTTTGGGGCTCTGGTTGGCACAGGGGATTGGCAAAAGTCTGCTAGGGGCAATTTTACCTAGCAGTGCCATTTATAATATAGTCTTTACCCAGTCGTGCCTGAAAACTACTCTGATTTTACCCAAACCCAGACAAAAGTCTGGAGCTGAAATTCCATGTGACTGCAACTGGTTGGAGAATTACCGTGGATTCAGATTGCCCATTCTTTTTCCAACATTTTTTTCTGCAGCCCTGACATAAACTAAAGCCTCATACAAGAGTTCTAGGCAAAAGGCTAAAATATTGCCTGCAAACATTTGTTATAATGTTGCAAAGCTATTCAGAAAATAATTCCGCAGGAGTTTTCAATGTATTTCATTCAGTCTATAAACAGAGATAAAATCAGAGCAACTAATCAACGGCTCGAAGGTATAATCTCATTACCTTTGTTACTGAAGGTTCTGACAAGAGTTAAATCACCAGTCCTAGTGATCCATTCCCTGGCCCTCTGGCACTAAGGGGATTTGCTTTCATCAACTATGACTGTGCTAAACTGGAGTACCACTCCAAAGGTGCTTGCACTTTATCTGCTGTGGTCTTGATGGTAAATAACATGCTCAGCTCCAGAAAACACACAGCAACACACAGTAACAGAAGAGGAGCAAATGGAACGACATTTATATGATATTCTAACATTCACAAGAAATGTGAAGTAGATTTGGATTGATCCTATAGCTTATGTTAAGAAATCTCATTTTAATATTCAGCTGGAGAGAAAAAATAATCCAGTTAAAAACATAATGCCTAACAGATGCCTTTCCTATTTAAAGAGGTCACAGTATTAACACCCAGTTGACTGAAAGCTATGAATTGCTGAAATCTGTCTTGAAATACAAGTAATCAAATGACAATATGAACATGGTCCTAGAGAGACAGTGGCAGTATGTGGTACACAGCTGCTTCCAGCATTTTTGAGGTATTTGGGGAGAAAAAAAAAGCACAAGCAATTTAGCATTGTGACGAATGGCTATAATAAAGAGGGAATGTGAAAAAGCCGGATCAGGAATGACTATAAGGAGGAGATGAATTCCTACAAATCTGGTATTCAGTGATAAATATCATGTACTGTACGGTAAAGTGCTCTGAAAAACTCAGGCTGTGGAAAACCAGAAAGGTAACTCTTACCATAACTGAGATAAAGACAGATGTGAATTTTAACTCCTCATAGTTAACATTTACATTGTTGAAGGTAGTGATTATTAGTATGTTTCAATTTAAACAGTAATTTAAATATAAATAAAATGTTTACTTTGAATACTACGGTCCTGAGCTACAACCAAAATTTGTTTTTCTAATTCTTCAGAGAGAATCCACCCACTCTTACTAGATGAGTGTGTTCCAGAGCCTAAGTTCTACTGAAAAAGTTTTCTAGTCCTTGTGGTTGCAAAGATACCTCCCAAAATTTGAACTGACTGTAAGCAAAGAAGAATGCCCAAGTATGAAGATGGCCTGGCAGAACAGGTCTGCAAGAAAGTAAATTCTGAAAACAATTCAAATTTCTGTTGATTTAATTATATTCCAAACAGTATAATCTTTGTTTAGTTTTAACTGTAAAAATGTTAAAAATATTTAACACAACCATATTTCATAGGTTGTGTTTATCACTGAAAGAGCACAACTAATTTTGCACGCAGAATGCAATGGTGTCAGTCTTTGCACATTTGTGCAGATGAAAGTATGGTTCCTTGTTCTCTCTTTTCCGCTTCGTGCTCTTTCCCAGGGACAGCTAGACTGTGGCACATCACACATTCTGTACTTACTGGAAATGTCTGTTGTGTCACCAGTTTATCTCCATCTCATGCACTTGAAAATAAAACTGTTGTAAAGTTTATATCTCTTTTAGTTCCATAAACCAGTTCCAGGTCTGGATCTGACCATCTTCAAAAATTCAGCAAAATTAGGTTTTAGAAGCTCTCAGAAGCTTGGATTTGGCTTATAATTGTTACTCTATAGTGTATCATTTGCTGCTGTCCTCTGAGGCAAATAAAAACATCTCCAAATTTAGACAGCATCATCAAAATACTCTATGTTCTAGCCTTTGTTCCAAAAGGCTTAATATAAATCCAGTGACTCCACAGCCGTAATAATTATTTAATTATTCAGTACGACAATTGTTATTACTGCCTTTAAAAATGTGCCCTGTTTATACAGGGGATACAACATCAACGAGGATGTTGACAAATTTACAGAGGAGGGCCACGAAGATGATCCAGGGGCTGGAGCACCTCTGCTACGAGGACAGGTTGCGGGAGCTGGGATTGTTCAGCCTTGAAAAGAGAAGACTTCGGGGGGACCTAATAGCTGCCTTCCAATACCTGAAGGGAAGTTACAGGAAGGCTGGGGAGGGACTTTTTACAAGAGCGTCCACTGATAGGACAAGGGGAAATGGGTTTAAGTTGAAGGAGAACAGATTTAGATTAGATCTTCGGAAGAAATTCTTCAGTACGAGGGTGGTAAGACTTTGGAATAAATTGCCCAGAGAAGTTGTGGATGCCCCCTCTCTTGGAGGTGTTCAAGGCCAGGTTGGACGGAGCCTTGAGTAGCCTGGTCTAGTTAAGAGGTGTCCCTGCCCAGGACAGGGAGGTTGGATTAGATGATCTCTGAGGTCCCTTCCAGCCTGTGCCATTCTATGATTCTATGATTCTATGATATCTGGCTCAAACACTTGATATTTTCATTTCAAATCTAATGCTCTCTATTGCACAACCACTTGTAACAAGTAGGTAAGAGCTACGAGCTGCTGGGCTGTATCACACAAAGAACTCATCTTACCTCTTATTCATCCGACCCCTGACACAGGCTCAGGAGCAGAGACTTAGGGAAGAAGATTTAAAGAACGGTAGTGCAAAAGCGATTCTTCTGGTGAGAAGGTTTAGTGACTTTGTTTTTTGAAAGAACTAATCATGGTGACTGTAAGATCCCTTTCTTGAGTGGAATCAGCTAAGTTAGAGCTCAGTACTTTGTATGGACTTCATAATTTTTCTCTTATTACATTTACTTACATTGAACGTAATCTGCCATTTTACTGCCAGTGACCCAGTAAAGGGAGATCTTCTGTGACTCTGCAGTCATTTGTAGATTGGACTATCGAGGATAATCTCTTATCCTCTATTTTGTATGTATACTTGTTCAAAGCTTTAACAGCTACAGCTAGAAAGATTATTGCTTGCATGACAGTTATGCACAACTATTCACACGGATCAGTGCATTCATATTTGTTATGTAAATGCCTCCTTGGAAATACTAATCTAAAGCCCAGCCACTCATCCACGTCTTTCCAAATGGATGGTTTTCTGTTGCCTTGTACTACAGCCCACTTTGTATTATGGTAGTCCTTTAAAACATAATATGGAGCAATTATGTATTTTCTCCACACGCTTAAGAGTCTGGCAGTGAATATCATCATGAGTTACATGGTGGTACCTTTACAAGGACAAGAATCTGCGTGCACGCAGCCTGAGAATTCGTCTCTGAGATATTTTGTTATGAACTGTGAGTTATGATTTGACTGCTTGGTTTTGGGACATGGTAACTGCAACCATTTATGAGAGAGTTGAGTTAGATTTTCATTATTCAGCACTGGTGGCTAAAGCGTAATAATAAAAAAACTTTTAACAACGCAAGTTACTATTACAACAATACAAGGTCAACACCTAACTAAGTTCAAACTTTCACCCTCTGTGCTTCTATAGTAGCAGTTACTTCCCAGATTCACTCAGTACTAAGGATTATGCTTGAGGTTCGGAGAAGTGAAGATTACAATGGCTGTGTCTAAGAGCAGAAATAATTACAGTTGTTACAATAACAACTTGCTAAGTTACTATTTAAACATTCTGATTATTTTATATCTTCTCTTTAGCTCCTTGCTCAGAAATGGCCTTTTGGAGATTCTGAATTTGGACAGTTTCTTTGCAAATTCCTTCCCTTCATACAGAAGGCATCGGTGGGAATCACAGTCCTTAATCTCTGTGCCCTTAGTGTGGACAGGTACGGTACGTTTTATTCTTTTGATGGACGCTGTTCTTGCCCTTGCAGTTTTCCTAAAACTAGGAGCACTCAGTATGGTCTTCTTGGCAGGCAGACTACTGTATAGATGTAACTTACATTCTATTTTTTTGATATCCTGGCTACAAAAAAGCATCACATCCTTGGCTCAAAGTATAGCACAAAACCATTGGGCTAATTAAATTTATAGGGTTTTTAAAGGTACTTAAAAGTTTTAGTAAAGCATTATTTCAATTTCCTTTACCAAACAAAAAATTATTGGGATTTGACTCAGTAATCAGACTTCATTTTTTTCATATGACCTTATATTAATTTTGTATTTGGACAGGGTCCTAATCTTTAGTCTTAAAAATACTTTTTTCAACTCATTGCCTATGGACCATAATTGCAGTCTTTATTCTGATAACTTTTATAACTAGCTGAGTTTTCTTGAAGAACACATTAGAAACTTGCTTTGATAGTTTGACAATGATAGTTTGAAAACTAATGCCTCTGCTAAAAGTGCTCAGAAAGATACATAAACGTTTTGATAGAACAACAGCTAAGATGCTTTTGAACATTACTCTTTTATGCTTTTTTTCTTTGTGCATATAAAGCATGAAGCAGATGAAGATTTTACTTCTGTAAAAGCTGTTTTCATTGGTCTTGAGTTTAGTCTAGTCCAAAATATCAGTATTCTGATACAGAAAATATTGATAAATAAAATACATTATGTGTATTCATACAGCGATGCAAAGTTCTTTAAAACTTTAAAATTAATCTTGGTTTGTTTTTATGTAAAAAGTTGATGTACAAGGTTTGCAATGGATGAGTAACTTTGTAGTACCCACACCTGAAATACAGTTCCTTATTGCATTAGTAACTCATTAGCTGAAGTCAGAAATAAAAAAATGTAACACAGGCAAGTGTTCTATTTCTATTTTTGAGTCTGAGAACTATAAAAAGAATTCTATGTCTCAAACAATATCTGCCCTGCATAAAATACAATCCCATGGACTGCTCTAAGGAATAAATTGTAGATCAAGCACATATGAAACAGAGAGTTTGTTAGATAAGTTCTGACCAGTGCAGTTTCACTTTAGTCCTACTGTTATATATATTTTCATAAATTGGAAGTAACTCCACTGAAGAGCTCCATAGCTTCGGTAATTGTTGACTCTCTGTCCCTCTTGCAGACTACAGCCTTAATTTACAACAAGATTATTTTCATTTTCCTGCAAGGACTGTTTTCTGTGCAGACTACATCCTCTTGTGAAGCTCCACTCACTACTGCTGCCCCTTGCACAAAGTAACTAGTGCTGACAGTGTATTAAGGTTTAACTGTGCATGCCCAAGGGGAACAACATCCACTCACAGGTGGAGAGGGTTTTAAGAGGCTTACAGAAAACACCAAACCAGTCATTCACCTTTCATAGGAAGCTCACATTTGTTTCTGATGCCTCTCGGGCATTTTTAAACTCTAGGTCATGATGGTGACAATAGTCTGACTCTTTCTCTAAACAGTGCCTGACTGTGACTAAGAGGAAGGATGTTTCCCTTTCTGAGCTTTTACTGTTGCTTATGTCTCGGGCACAATGATTTTGATGAAGAAATGGTTTTACGAGGTTTATACACCCTCTTCTTGCGCCCTCTGCATACCAAATTGCATAGAACAGTAATCTCAGGGTAGGTACTTTCGTCCTGTCCAACCTCCAGTTAGTGCACTAGGTAAGACAAGATTTTACCACTAAACCAAAGCTCTGAGAGCTTTATCGTATTAAGAGCTTTGCAGTCGACACACTGCAGGCTACCTTTAAAATGAAGAACGCTGTGATGTCTCATAACAAAGACGAATAGATCAATATCAGCAACAGTAGTGTCATTTAGGAACTGTTTTGACACTAATCTTGACAGTGACAGCTTCTTGCGTCCTTGATCAAGTCTCTTATCTTTTCTGTACTGCTTTTCCCTCTTACAAAGGGCTGATGATACTTGCAGAACAGAAATATGTTATACTAGTGAGCCATTGGAACAACTAATTTTCTAATCCAGTCAAATGGAACATGGAAACTAAAGTACCTACTCTGTAAGACAGCAGCCACAGGAGGCTGATAGTCCACGGAGAAGCTATAGCCCATGATCTCATTTTCATAGACTCCTTGATTTCATTTCATAAGGCCAAAATACATTTTCTTTTTAAATTCTGATTAGATACCACTACGGTAAAATTCATCCAAATTGTTCCAAAAACTAATCTGGGCCACAGCAAAAACCACAACCATGCTGCATTAATGAGGCCAATACTGGAAGGCTAACTAGAGTTCTAGAATTATTCTTTACCAAAGAATGATGAAATTATGGAGAAAGCATAGAAAAGTATCAGAAATGATTCAGTGGCCTTCCAGATCTTAATTTGTTGCTTATCAAAAACGATACTTAAGAAGCCACTTAAATACAATATCCAAGTACTGAAATACAGATGATGTTATCAGATATCCATGGGGTCTTTAGCTTAGCAAAGAAAGATACAATAAGAACATATAGAACAAGGTTTCAGCCAGACAAATTCCAAATGAAAATAAGGTACGCATTTTTAGCAATGAAGGTGATGAACTACTCGAAGAAACCACCAGGGAAAGGCAAAAGTGTTCTGCTTCTAATGTTCTGCTCCTTCTGAAAGAAATGCTTTAACTAAATTGCAACTAGATAGGAGTGCAAAATATTTAATCGCATGTATGTAACTTCATGATGTAATGATCCCTTGTCCTTAAATACTGTGCATCTCTAAATATAAGTAGCAGGAGGGACTGCAAAGTCCATGAAAAGCAAGTTGAAATACATAGCAAAGAATAAGAGGAGAGCAAGCAGAAAAAAACAGAGGAGGGAGAGCAACTGAAGGGCACAATATACTAAAGTTGACAGCACATGCATGAGCGGTAGAAAATGAAAAGGGGAGAGAGAAGAGGAGCCACCACATTAAACAGAGAAAAGGAAATGACCCAGAAAAGAACTGAGTATTTTAGACAAGGTTGGAGACAAAAGGGAAACAAACAGAAAAAATAAAAGTAGGACAAAACACACGCACATAGATTTTAGATTGGGGAATTAAATGTAATGCATGATGCATGTATTTTATGTCAGTTCCCTGGCAGACATCTTATATTTTTTACATATGAGGGAGATGAATCCTGCAATATTTTCCCATTCCTGATTATGGGAGGTTTGTGGCTAGACAAAGATCCTATATATTACATAACTCGCATAACACCCACTTGAAAAATTATACTACCACTATTTTCCAAATCACTCTTACAGCAGTGAGTAAAGAGATCAAGTAATTGCAGGTTAATATGCATTCAGCAAATTCTGATCTAATTACTGAGCTGCTTATGCTTTAGCTGAAACCATTTACAAAATTCTTCAGCTAATAATTCCTTATCTGACAGTTATTTGAATTGTGAACTGAGAAAAAAAAATTGCTGATAAAACACATACAGGACCCAAATCCTTACTGCTGTGCATACTAATCTCATGCACAAAACAGATGTAACTCAAACAAGACAGGTACAAAAATGCAAGAAAGGAAAGAATTAGAGTCACAATTTACAACCCATTTGTTGTCATTTACGTAGTTACACAGGTCACACAACACAAGCTTTACACTTTCTTACTTGAAAAATATGTATAGTCTCCAGGCCCTTGTTTGCTAAGAACATAGATTTCACAGCTTTCACAGATTTCTAGGTTGGAAAAGACCTTAGAGATCATCGAGTCCAACTGTCCCTAATCCCCATTAAACCATATCGCTAAGTAGATCATCCACCCTATTCTTAAACACATCCAGGGATGGGGACTCAACCATCTCCCTGGGCAGCCTATTCCAGTGGCTGACAACCCTTTCAGAGAAGAAATACTTCCTAACATCCAACCTGAATCTCCCCTGACTAAGCTTATACCCATTTCCTCTTGTTCTATCACCCATCACTAACGTAAAGAGCCCTTCCCCCACCTCCCCACCATCCCTTCTCAAGTATTTGTAGGCCGTAATCAGGTCTCCCCTCAGCCTCCTCTTCTCCAGGCTAAACAGCCCCAACTCCCTCAGCCGTTCCTCATAAGTTTTATTTTCCAGCCCCTTGACCAGTTTAGTCGCCCTTCTCTGGACCCGCTCCAGGAGCTCAATATCTCTCTTAAAGCGAGGGGCCCAAAACTGGACACAATATTCCAGGTGTGGCCTCACCAGTGCCGAGTACAGGGGCAGGATCACTTCCCTGTTCCTGCTGGTCACACTATTCTTGATACACGCCAGTATCCCATTGGTCTTCTTGGCCACCTGGGCACACTGCTGGCTCATATCAAGCCGGTAGTCAACCAACACCCCCAGGTCCTTCTCCGCCAGGCAGCTCTCCAGCCACTCTTCCCCGAGCCTATAGCGATGCTTGGGGTTTTTATACCCCAAGTGAAGGACTCTGCACTTGGCCTTATTAAAGCTCATGCCATTGGCCTCAGCCCAGCGATCCAGCCTGTTCAAATCCCTCTGAAGGGCCTCCCTACCCTCGAGCAGATCGACACAGCCTCCCAGCTCGGTGTCGTCCGCAAATTTACTGAGGGTACATTCAATCCCCTCATCCAGGTCATTGATAAAGATGTTAAACAGAACTGGACCCAGCACTGAGCCCTGGGGAACCCCACTGGTGACCGGCCTCCAGCCAGATTTAGCCCCATTTACCACCACTCTTTGGGCCTGGCCATCCAGCCAGTTTTTAACCCAAAGGAGGGTGTGCCTATCCAGGCCAGCAGTTATCAGTTTCTCAACCAGAACATTATGAGAAACTGTATCAACGGCTTTACTGAGGTCAAGGAAAACTACATCCACAGCCTTTCCCTCGTCAATCAGGCGGGTCACCCCATCATAGAAGGTGATCAGGTTTGATTGGCAAGACCTGCCTTTCATAAACCCATGTTGACTGGGCCTGATCACCCGGTTAACCTGTATGTGCTCATTCCATCCAGGATGAAATAGTATCATGTACCTTGTGCAGCTGATGGGACTTATTGTAAAATTGCCAGTCTGTAGAAAGTAAAATTTGAATTGAAAGATACATTTCCAAAGTTCACAAATATTTGAATATTTGTGTGAAAAGTTATTTTTCTATGAATATTCTACTTAGTCATTAAAGCCAAAATTTGATATTTGGTAAAATGAGATGTGAGAGGATCATAAATTATTTAAAATTAAATTTGAATTTTAATATGAACAAATAAGTGGAAGAAGACACGATGCTGAATGTTACTTTCTCAGTTATCTCAGTATCTCAGTACAGTTTATCGGTTTTGATGCTCTCAGAATTCCAATCTCATAGACCTCCTCCCCATGAGTGAACCATTCATTGCCTCTCTCCTTTCTGATATTCTTTGAAGATAAGGATGCCTTTGGAAGATGTTTGTATTTTTAATATGCAAGTCCAAAATATAGTTTGCTTTAGCGTGTTCAAAATTTTTATACGTACACTTCTGTTAAAATGATGAACTGAGAACGTGTCCATAGTACACTTGTGGCTACGCTGGGTATGATATTCCCACAGACATCAAAGCAAAAGTTTATAGTGTGCTCACTGCAAGAATATGGCATACAAGGCTCTGACACCTTCCAGGGCTGTTCTGTAATCATGCTTTCTGAAGTTTTTTGAGAAGCTTACGGCCTGATCTTGCATTCTTGTATCTTCCTTCCTCTAACATCGAGGCTGCAGGGGATTTAATTCACAGGTTTTCCATCCTGTTAATCAGCACACTTCCAAATGAAAAAGGGGGTGTGATACAGGAAATCGGAAGAAATGCTGTACGTGTGAATCCCAAGTTAGTGTCTTGGTTAGAGGAGGAGTGAGCATGCCTTTTAATAACTCTAAATTTTACTGACCTCTGTAGCCAAGGTTCTATACCCCTTAACTAATTTTTTTTCCCTCTGGAAGCTCTTCACTCCTCCCATCTCAGATATTCAAAATCCAGTACTTCTCTGTACACTCAAAGCATTCTAACCAAGAGTTGTCAACTACTCTTTTCCTTAAAGCCTTGTTATCCCTGAGCCTTCAAGCCCATGCCAAAATTCTGTATTCCTTCCAATCACCTCTCTACCATGCAACCCTAATCCTTCCACAACCTAATCCTCCAACCTAAAGCTTTCTGATTTAAATTCCCGTTCTTTGCTTCTCTTGCCAAAGCTCCCCCATCCCTGCAACTCAGAGCCTACTGAGTTGCAAATACTTAAAAATTGTATCCTGTTGAGGACATCTCCTTTCCTCATAACTTTCACCTTCCTTGTGCCTGCTGGTATGCCCTTTTATATCGCAGTTAGCTGCTGTCATCAGCTAAAATCACCACCCCATTTGCTTTTCTCTGAAAGATTAACCTTGGCTAGTACCTTGGAAAGGTGTTAAGAACAGAGGTGGCAGCTGCACCTATCCAAATGCATCTTCCAGGTCTCAAGGAGGCAGAAAATAAGGGCATGTCTGAGGGAAAAAAGACTACTTGCCATAGTCAGGACAGTAAAATGTCACAGCTCCTTACAATTTATAATCTGCTTCAGTGACTGCTTATTCCGACATTTTTTAAAGCAGATGAAAAACCTTTCTTGACTTTTTTTCTCCTTCACTAAAGAAGACTATTTAATCAGTGGATGCCATGGTATATCTGTGTAGCATTGTAATTCGAAAAGGGAAGGTCCTATTATTTTGGGAAAGTAAAATAAGTAGTTTAGAAACTGTTACATCACCAATGACAGAAAGCTCTCCAGCATGCATTTCAGATTATTACGAGATCAAAAATAATATTTGTTCTTTCCATAATTTTTAGATAGCACTGTCTTTGCTAAATTGTTGGAAATGCTAAGTAACTTGTTTACTGCAGGTATTGCTAGACAACAGTTATGTCTGCCGCTGAAAATTTAATTTATGGATTAGTTTTTACTCTGCATTTTATGCCTATCAGTTTTCTCCAAATAATTTTTGAACCTTTTGACCAGAACTGACAGGGAGATTGAGGTCTCAAAGCAAATAAATTTCTACAAGTTCCCTGAAAACTGGCAGACAAGTAGAGGAGAAAGACCCTCTCTGTTGCCCGCTGCAGCCTGGTAACAAGAATCCTCTAGCACTGGAGGGGCAAAGAAGGTAAAGAGGAAGAGGAAAAGGGAGAAAGGCATGGGCTGTATTTGAAACTTCTTTAAGAGTTCTCACCTTTTACCAAGATAAGTTATGAGATGCATATGCACACATAGGAAAGCAGGTTTCAATAATTCCATTTTTTACAGTGAAACTTGCTATCTAAGGGATAAAGTAGTGGGAAAATACGTTGGTTTTGGTACGTACAGACTGCTTAGCCATGCACCTAAGTTCCTCATCAGAAAGGTGACGCAGAGGTTGAGATGGCTGTCAGACAGTCCTAACTGGCACTCAGTTGTAGTCTAAGGCAAATAGAGAATATGCTGCAGAAAACCAGTATTTTCAACATTGAATAGTGTAAATAGAAAAAATGCATTTTAATGTCATGAAGAACATTTTCACAGTGTTTCATTGCATGGAAGCTGACCACTTCAGATAATACAGCTGAGGTAGCTGAAAGAGATCGCTGTTTTGTATCTACTAGAATGGCTTGTGGGCCTGGAAGCTTTTTTTCTACCGTATGTTATTTGGCTTAGTGAAAGATACAGTCTGTTCTCACAAAGCTTGCCTACTTTCACTAAAAATCATTAGTGTAGTCCACATAGTAGAATTCCATACCATCTGCCTAAGCAGAACAGTTGTAGCCAGCTCTCTATAATCCACCCCTTGTGGTGCTCTGCTGTGTCCTAGGTGGCTTGAGAGCTGGCAGAGCCCCTGGAACAGACAGACAAAAACAAGCAATAGAAGTCTAAGATGTCAGCTTTAGGATTTTACTGAATATATAAAATTGAACCAAGATCTTTGAAATTAAGGAAGAAACGGAAGGTTGGAAACGAATGTCTGTCTCTTTCAGGTATAGAGCAGTTGCCTCCTGGAGCCGTGTTCAGGGAATTGGAATCCCTATGATCACTGCTATTGAAATTTTCTCCATTTGGCTTCTGTCCTTCATACTGGCTATTCCAGAAGCAATTGGTTTTGCTGTGGTGCCTTTCAGATACAAAGATGAAGGTTATGTTACCTGCATGCTCAATCCTACAAATAATTTTATGTTGGTAAGTAACATCCTTTCATCTTTTTGGAATCCACAGGATATAGGTTAGACAAATAAGACACTGGAATATAATACGCTTTATCCATCCATTAAAGTGCAAAACGTATTCTAATGTATATTAGTGCACAGAGGATCCTTCATTTACAGTGGCCTGTATCTACTTTTAGCCAGTAGAGGAGAAATGGGACTTTACAACATTTTCATTTCTTTACTCCTGAGGATTCTTAACACAGAATTTGCAATTCGAGCCTGCTTAATGTACAATCAAGAGATGTATCAGGGTAGCAGGAGCCTTGGAAGGTATCATGTTTCTAGGTATAACACCTTGGAGCTTGTAACTGTCAAAACCCATGTTTTATCATGATTAGTCATCATTTGGTATGCAGTAGCCAGCCCTTTTGGCAGATAAAGGAAAGGGTGGGGCCATGCTCCAACATAACTTTTCCTGTTCTATATGCACTTACAACGTCAAACAGAGAATAATCCCTTCATTTACAAGAAATCATGACTATAAATCTGACAGACTTGCATCTCCAACCTAGGTAGCTTGGGCACTGTCAGCTGTCATCTAGATACATCAGCTCAAGAGCAAGAGAAGTGCCTGAGAGGCATCAGGCTTCTTTGGCACGTTTCATAGCCCTCATCCTCTGTGCTACTGCAGCTTAACAGTTGCTAATACCCACATTAGCTTGTTCAAAGCAAGTCCAGTGAGTAGCCACTACAGAACTAAAAGATCTCTACTGCATAGGGGGATAGTGATTTTTCACCTGGACTTAACGCTGAGAATATGGAAAAGAGGTTATCTTAAGTTTTTCTTTGTGAATTCAAAGAAGGGCCAGTCACCATTCACCCAGTAAAAAAAAAAAAAAAAAAAAAAGAGTAATATTCTGTTTTTTTCTTGAAGAAGGAAGATAGTATAAGGTCTTAAGTCTTGAGGGAAACTCCATATTTTTTTCCAGATCAGAATTTTTCATGATAGAGTGCAAGTTTCTCCTTTTTGAATGTCTGGCACTTCTCCTTTTATTGGATCAGAACATGGCTTGGGTCCAGAATTGGGAAAGATAAGGCAAAACGAAGCTAGGAGATTTAGAAAATAAAAAGTGTGGATGGTTAGTGTTTCTCAGAGGAACATCCCCAACTTGGGTTATGTAGAGTTATGCAGACTACAGGGATGGCAGGAAGAGCAAGGGACAATTGCAAGAGAAGACAAAAGGAATTCTGTAATGGAAATAACTAATGCAGGTGAAGACAGAGTGGAATTGCCCAGGACTTACTATGTCTTCATTTCTAAACACTACAGACTAAATGACTGGAGATACCGTAGTTTGAACATGAACATGATTTATGAAATGCACACTGCAGCAAATTTCCTTTTAGTAATGGCTGTTTTTCTCCACAAATGTGCCTGGACAATCTTCACTTCCTCTCCGCCTAAGAAAAAGAATCGTTTTCTCTTTTTCTCAAAAACACCACAGTTCAGGTCTTCCATAGGCATGCTAACTTTAATGATTATCGTTCTGTTCATAATGTGGTAAGTAGAACAGCTTGGTTTGTTTTATTAGCAGGAATTAGTATCTTTTATTTGCTCAGCACAATTCAAAAGCTTCAAATCTCCCCTCATCATTTTGATTTTCAAGGGAACAAACCGGCATTTACATTGAAGCAGAGAGTAAATGTTAGATGTGTCAGTCAAACTGGAGAGTGTTGCGTTTCAATGTGTTGTAAGCAAGTACAAACATGAGATTAAAATGGAAATACCGTTTTAACCTTAACTATAGTATTTACTACCACAAACACCACAATAAACAATTACTAAACTTTGGGAAGGATTCATGATTAACTTTTGATTCTAATAGGAGCTTTATTCGTGTTTAAAGATATCCTTGAAAGACTTAAAAGATTCATGCTAGACCATGATTCCCAAGAGGCTGAGGGCACTAGGAAACTTGTTTAAAACGCACATTTCCTGTAGAAAACCAGTTCCATGTGGACTCTCAAGACAAACAAAAGAATGTCTACTTCTCTTAAATCAACTCAATTTTGTGCTTTGATGTAAGCTTTGTGAAACTCAGATTCCACAACTAATCATTTCCAGACATTATCGTGTAAGTTTTTGCAACTTCACAAAGCCAGATCCTCATACAGAATTGATGCGCTGGTCAGGGTTGCGACACAAACTCTATGTGCGTTTTCTTGACTGACAGGCAGTGCTCACAAAAGCTGGTAGACTGACAGGCCAGAAAATCTTCCTTGTAAACAAACCATGGATTCAAACAGTAGACATTTTGTTATGCTGCCCAACCAGTACGATTCTAGTCTGACTTGGAGGAGTTTGCCATGGAAAAGATAATTGTCTCCATGTATTTGTAATCTTTTTCTCTGCAGAAGGAGTGGTAATTAGATTTCCCCTTAGTACAAACTCTTCAAATATGAGGCATATTGTTTTCTGGTTTTCTGCTGGCAGAAGCTCTGTTCCCAGTGGGGAAAATTCTGCTCCCAAGGAAAGTGTAACTATGCAGCAGACTGTAGCCTCTCCTCATGCAGGGATGAGGCTAACAAGGAGGAGGAAGAGGAGGAGGAAACAAGCTAATCAACACAATTCAAAATGTCCTGTGAGGTGGGGTTGTGGCCTAGATACCAGCAGCATACTCTAAATCAGCCGGCTCTGTAAGCAGCTAACTGTGTTGGGGCAGAGGGAGAAAAATCAAAAGCGTTTCCCTTTTCTTAGTAAATCAACTTTCCAATGTAACTAAAGCAGATTTAAAAATGAACGTTATTAAATACTAGTTATTAATTGCATCAATTTTTTTCATCTTTCAGAGTTTAGTACCATTCAGTTTTAAATGTAAACAAGATGTCAGAAGATTGACTTATTCAGATAGGATTCATCCTTGGCTATTAGCATTTTGACATTTGGTGTGGGAACTGTGATGTTACGAGAGCACATCCGCTAGGAATAAACAAGCTAGGGGAATGATTACGAGAAAGAAGGTTCCCTTTACACACATCCATCTCAGTGACTAATAACACAGAGACAGGAAGTATTTAAAATGTCATATTTCAGTGCACACTTTTGGCTGAGCATAAAAGTTAAAAATGAAGATATAATATTTTCTCAAGTCTGAAAATATAATCATCTACAGAAAAGAGTAATTTTAGATGTTTTGTCAAATGCAGAATTTCTCATAATATATGAATGTATTAACTTAAACCATAGCTTAAATCAAAGTTAACACTTAAAATTACACAGCCACTGCTATGTACTGTACTGCTACTCTATCAAGACCCTCAGTGTCCTGTCACAAAAGGCAAATGGTATGAATGGCAGACAAAGGGTTAAAAGTAACTATACAACTAGAAGCCACCCATCCTAAGCTTTGCATGTATCAGACAAGCACTTATGAAGTGGCTCCTATCTGCCCAGTACATAAGCAAACCCACTACCAATCTTTTCACTGATAACAAAAGGTGATTAAACTTACACGACATTTTGAATTTTCCTTTTTTGGAATCGGGACAGAAGCTGTAGAGGTAAATGGCATTTCCTCAGACAGGCTTTTAGTAAGATTTGTTATCTCAAACTGACACTGTCTACGTTTTGGCATATCTTTTTCATTAAACCGGATTCCAGTTTTCATGAATGAGTGTAAATGCTCAGAAAACGCAACCAAAAAAAAAATAATTCCAACCCAAGACAAATTGCAACAAAGGTACAGGCAGGCTATGCGTAAGGTAAAATAAATGTTTACACTGCCACAATTCTCATTTTGATTTTGGTCCAAAACAGATCAACAATAAGAAAGTTGACATAATTTATGCAGTTTACCAATAGAAAGATACCAGCTTTCCAAGACCTTTTTGTGGTACTTTCCATTGAAGCATAAGAAAATATCTTCTCTTTTCTTTACCTTATCTACAGTTTTACAAAGATGCAAAGGATTGGTGGCTGTTTGGTTTCTATTTCTGCATGCCACTGGCATGTACTGCCATCTTTTATACGCTCATGACTTGTGAAATGTTAAACAGAAGAAACAGCAACTTGAGAATCGCTCTCAGTGAACACCTCAAGCAGGTAAATATTAGCAATACCAATGTTTGAAAATACTGTTCTTCGTTCTATGTGTTAGCTTAGAAGTGTTTCAAAGAGTACTTGCATACAGTAAATTGCTGAAGTAGAAAGTGAGGATGTAGGTTATTTATGACGTTAAAGTATTCATTTAAACCTGGAACAGAAGACTAAACCCTAGTATAAGGAAATACTGAAGACAGCACACTCAGGAAACTAGCCAATTTCTTTCTTTCCTTAAGTATGTATGACAGGTGTGCTCTCCTGCTCTTTAACCTCAAATCATTGCTGGCTAAATGCTTTGAAATTTAACTACAAAGATTTGCCAAAAAGATGCTTATTTTTATTCATAAAGGTATGACTCCATGGGTCCTCCCTACTTTTGGCACACTTCGATACACAACTTTAGTTTCATATAAAAGGCAATTGTAGAATAACCTGGTTTAGAACAGAGTGGAATTTTTTTGTCAGATTTATTGCACTGTTGCAGTATCACTGCTGTAGCTGCTTTGAAAAGAGCAATGGGAGAACAGTACAAACAAATGATCATAGAGTAAAGTCACTCACAGAACGGTCAGATCTCACTTTGCTGCTTTTGCAGCACTGTCCGATGTTTAATTCCTAACTGAAATTTTAAAAACAATCTGTAGCTTTTCCCCTGCTTTAACATCAGCCCCTCAAATCCCACTCTTTCTTTCAAATGCCACATTCACAGATGTGAATCCCTAAAGCAATCCCCTCTGCATCGGAGTGAGTTCTCTCAGAGGTTCCTCCTCTGCTGATTCATTCCAGATCAGGGCAGACCAGAAAGTTCTCCCCTTGTGCAGATCCCCTCATCAGGCCCCAGGGCCTGCAGCACAGTCTGTCCTAGGGCCACACACAAGGGACTCCACCCATTAGAACCAGAATGGTATGTACAAGGTGGGGGAATCCACGCTCCAGCTCTCCCATCCTGACATGCCCAGCAAGCTACTCAGACTGGTTGCTGGAGGATGACTTTATGCCGCAATTTACAAATGCTTGTCTTTTTAACTGTCACCTTTTACCTTCCTTCCTTCCTTCCTTCCTTCCTTC